GACGGCCAATCATCCAATTTTAATCTCTTGTAAACATCTACCGGTCAGCAAACGATGACATAAATAAATTGTGATGAAATAAATAACATGATTTAGTTTTCCTCTGATCCAGTTCTTCTCTGCTGCAGCTGGTTGACCGGGATGTGAATCTAATCACGCTGCTAACTTTAACAATTACTCCTGTTTTAAAGTCTAAACTGAACCTACAGGAAGCAGAAGTTGTCTAATTCTTCTCTTCTGTTAGGGTTTACTGCTGGAATGTCAGACGACTGCTTGTTGTGTTTAGTAGTCTTTGGTTTCTGTGCTGGAGGAGACCACCTTCCCATCCACCAGGGTCTGTGTGACGGTCATCACTTTGGTCTTCTGCTTGATGGATTTCTGCTCCTCCAGAGCGTCCTGAAGCCTAAAAGGAAAACATAGTTGATTTTTTTAAAATAAAAGCGTACGGCACAACAATCAACAAAAACGCCGTCCCACTCACTTGAAGTCTCCCCCATCCAGCAGGCGCCTGTATGTTGCAATCTCAGCCTCCAGCTTCATCTTGGTGTTCAGCAGGGACTCGTAATCCTGCGTCTGCAGCTGGATGCTGTTACGCAGCTGCGTGAGCTCCGCCTCCAGACCCAGGATGATGGTGTTGAGGGACTCGACTTCCATGTTATAACGCAGCTCCGTGTCCCTCAGCGTTCCTTCCAGCGAGGCTTTCTGTGGCAGTGAGAAAAGGGTTAAATGTTGGGCTCTGAGCTTGACGGCACCGCAGCAACGGTTCACCGGAGTGCAAAGCTTGTGTCAACAAAGTGAAGGGGACCTGAAGTGAGAGTGCTGAGCTGGACTTTGTTGTTGTTGGTGTGTGTGTGTGTGTGTGTGTGGGTTTGATTGAATCACTTTTGGGGACTTGAACCAGCTCACACACCAGTCATTTGGGGACAACTGGTGCATTTGGGGACAAAAGTCGAGTCCCCGTCTGGTTTAAATGCCATTGGTGGGTTGGGGGTTGGGTTTAGGACCAAGGTGTGAATTGAGTTTAGGTTAGTTTTAGGGTCAGGTAGGTACCTGTGAGGTTATTCTTAGGGTTTGTGGTCAGGGTTAGGCTGTAGAAATGTAATGGAAGTCAGTGGAATGTCCCCAATTAGATAGCTGTGCAAACATGTGTGTGTGTGCATGCGTGCGTGCATGTGTGTGCGTGTGTGGTGAGGTAAATGAAGTATGTGCTGACTGCATGCTTCTCACCAGGCTCTTCTGTGACTCCAGTTCAATCTCCAGGGTTTGGAGCTGTCTACGCAGATCAGTCAGCTCTGTGTGCGCACCCTTCAGGGCCTCTGAGCTCTGCGTCACCTGCGTCTGCACCTCCGTTATCTAAACAAGGGATCGACGTTGTTCGTCACATTCGAAATGTCGGCATTTCTCACCAGCAATGTGCTCGATAGGCTTTTATGTGACCCTCTTACCTGAGATTCATGCCACGCTTTCAGTTCCTCCTGGTTCTTCTTCGCCATGCTCTCGTATTTAGCTCTAATTTCTGCCATGATCTGAGACAGATCTTGACCCTTGGGAGCGTCGACGTCCACGTGGACGCCGGAATTGGCGATCTGGTTGCGGAGCTCCGTGACTTCCTGAAAATAACACATAAAATGGAGTCAGGTTTTAGCGAACAATCACAATCAAAATGCAGATGTGAATAATGAAGTTTTTGCCTCGCTGTGTATTAGTCTGTCTATAATTAACGAGCACATTTGTTACATTAAAAACATAAAAATTATACTTTTATTTTTTTTATTTAAAATCTGAACACCTCGTTCCACGCTACAAATTTAAATAGGAAAGTTGTTTATGCACTCTTAGAAATGAAGTGCTTGTTTTTACTTAACCAAGTCAACTGGTTCCACTAAACCAAGTTAAGTAAATTGAGTAAATGTAAAGCAATTAAATAGCTTAATTTACTCAACTACAGTAGTTTGGTTAGGTAAATTTAATGCTTTATGTTTTAGAGTGTGTGCAAAAGTTCTTTTACTTTCTCATTTGTGAGCATTTTTATGACTTTTACTTAAGTACTTTTCTTGTCTGTGAAATAAATTTTTACCAATTTCCTTTTCTGTTAAGGTATTTTTACTTTATTTCAAGTACTTTATGCATCTCTGATTACCAAAGTATTTCAAAACCACTGGATAAATTTGAATGAAATTTCCAAAAAAGTAATCATTGGGGTAACATATACTGTATAACTAACTACTCTTGTAACTTTTGGAGTTAATCCAGTTGAAGATGCCCACTTTGGCTAATGGACATTAACCAAAATAAAATTGGCAAAATTTAGTTAATTTTATAAATATTGAGCTAAAATTTGACTTGGTAGTAACTGGGGATCATTCACAACACACACTCGTGTGCCGTATTAGATGAGCACAACTTTATTTTCAAGGTTTGACCCAAACAGCTATAATGCTGCTATTTCCCAACATCACATAATCTTAGTCTAAAACTCCGGCTTGGGAATAAGTGGGTGACACACATTCCTTCCTTACTATGATTTTATTGCTTAAGAAAACAACATATAAATCAATCTTTTATTTTAAATAAACTGAGGCATTTTTTAATCATTCTGCCACAGAAGACAGTTTTGTGTTGTGACCCAGTCATGACTCTGAGCCTCCTGCAGCTCTAACCACACCCTATGGTCAGGTAAACACACAAGGAATCTATCTAAATTCCTATCTGGGTCCCTAAACACTTCATTTAACATTTCTCTCAGTAAACAAACGGTTGTAATTTGGCTTTATGTGCTCAAATCACAATAATTTTAATTCTGCGGTGCAGCTCTGTTGCCAAATGTGGACTGTCACCAGTTTTACGATGAGGCTTCCCACAGAATTCACAAAGAAATGTTTTAAATTTCCGAAGAGACGTACAGTCCGTCTCGAGCTTTCTCACGCCTGTTATTTAAAAACACTCTGACGTCTGGTCAACTTGTTTTTGCATCTTACGTACTCAGAGTTGGGGATTACTACGACGGGCCAATATGCAAATATTTAAAAAGATCCTTAAAAGGTGTGGATGTTTGCTCCGACTGTCAACGGTGAAGTGACAGGACGTCCGACTTTTCGAATGCGATGAAACTCACGTTTTCGTGGTTCTTCTTGAGGTGAATGAGCTCTTCCTTCAGGGCTTCGATCTCGCTCTCCAGGTTCATGCGGCTCAGGTTGGTGTCGTCGATGAGCTTCCTCAGACCGACGATGTCAGCCTCGACAGACTGGCGGATGGCCAACTCAGACTCGTATCTGGAAAAAAGCACAAGTTGAAAAAGTTCATATCCCTTAAAAAAAAACAACAAGCATCTGATCACAATCAATGACTGAATCAACTTGGCTCAAAGTAAATCTTTGCTGCAGCCATTTCAGAAATCTAGCGTAGTGTGAGCGAGCTTAGAGTTATTATTTGGTCAGCGTGCAACTAGCCAGCTGTGTTTGCCGACACATTCATAACACGTCCTCCGTGTGGCCACCAGCAGTGATGCAAGGGTGATGAATGATGACTACAAGACAAACGACTGCCTCCTCAGATCATGACAGGATTTATTCAGCCTGCAACCCATTCTGTAGTGAAGCAGGGTGTGCCCGCAGCTGTCTGGCTTGGTGTTTTACGGTCTCGTTAGGCGGGTCTTACTTTACTCTGAAGTCATCGGCAGCCAGGCGAGCGTTGTCGATGTTCAGGACCAGCCGGGCATTGTCGATGGTGGCGTCAAAAATCTGGAACGGAATCAAGGAAAAGAGATTTTAGGTTTGAAAATGAACAGGAATTGGTAAAAAAAAAAAATACGACAATTAAAATACAGTAGGTTGTTAGAAAAACAACCCGTGTGTTGGGGTTTCACCTTTTGTTGCAATATTTAGTTTTTTATTGGTTGCCAAAGTGGAAAGTGGGTAATAGTGTATGTACTTTTGTGAGTACTTAAAATACACCATCAATAAGAGGAATACAAATCCTTGGATGCACATTTACGACTAAGTTTTGGTGTCAAGCTACAGTGAGTTAATGCCATAAAGCAAACACCAGAATAGGTATAACTTAGTCATTTTTACAGATTTTGAGCTAAGATCAGGTGTGGTAGTAGCTGAGAGTCATCCCTAACTTATACTATAAGGCCTAACAAATAATCTATCTATATAATAATGAAACTTTGGCATTAGTGTTTAGATTCAGCCCAGCTTAAGATGGCCACCGCTGATGATTATAGATTTTGAAGTAAAATTTGGTGTGTAGTAGTAGCTGAGAGTCAATCCCAGTACTTTGAGTGCTATCATATCATGTAGGAACTTTGTTTATAACATTGGAAATAATTTTTGGAGTCAATTAATAGTAAATTTTTTTCAATGTTTTTCTAAAAAAAGAGGTTGTAGCTGAGAGTCCTAATGCGAACTTTGACTGCTAACCAATCGTGTAAGACCCTTGCACGAGGATTACTGTCAGAGTGTAAATGTCATTGTCACAGATGTATACCTAAGGACAGTACTGAGATAGTGTCAGTATTTGTTTTAGCAGTCATGGTACAGTTGATAAGGCTGGTTTGGATGTCAGGAAGACATCCAGGTGACAAAGTCCAGGAGCCAATCAGCAGCTGCCAGCTGGAGAACAGGATCTGTCCTGTTAACATTTGCATCAGTCAGGAAGGTGCTTGATGGTAGCTTTGTGTGTGTGTGTGTGTGTGTGGGGGGGGGGGTGCATGGGCATATTTTACATGAGTATTTGACTTAGCGTGTTGGTCTGTGAGAGTTGTTCTCTCAGATAAGGGCACAGTTTGAGTGATTTTCTTGCATCACACTAAACAAAAAAAGAAAAAAGTGTGTTTTGACCTTGGACTGTTCTGATAAAAACTTATTTCCCAAGTGTTCATTCTCATGAAATGTTTTTTTTAATGATAAGATCATGTGAAACAGCTGGTAAACTCCCTTCTGTAAGCTTGTTTCTCGTGTGACGACATTGCAAAAACTTTGTTGCTGACCTCGATGGTTGCAACACATTATTATAAATAATCTTTAAATGCTGAAGGACATCTGATTTTCTCTTTTTCTAAAAGAAAAGGTAAGTTTTAATGAAAGACTGCGAGCCTTGCCCCCCCCCCCCCCCCCCCCCCCCCACACACACACACACACTAAACGGGATCAAATCTGTGATGAATTATTAACTTAATCAACTGCGTGTAAAGTAATTATTTTATTTTGAACTCATAAATCATTTAGTGGTTAATATATTTGTCAGTTACTTGTAAATCATTATAAATTATTATAAATTTAGTGTCTTTACCAGTATGAGTACACAGATATAATAATTACATTATATGCAATGATTCTATTTTATGTTTTATTCCTTAACATTACTAAAAGAAGGAGAAAATAGGGATTAAAATGTTAATTTATGAGAGTTGATTCCTGTTCCTGGAATTGCTTCATTTAGTTTTTCCTGTCTCAGTGACCCCCCTGCTGCTCCAACATTCCTCCTCCATACTGTTTCCGGTACAGGCCTCGGCCCCCCGGCTCGCACAGTAGGAGCGGAGCTGAGCAGGATGAAACCTTCACTGTTAACTTTTATGTTGTTTGTGACAGAAAATCACCGTCTGACGTTCATTCTTTGTGCTTTTGAGGTCAACATTCGCACAGCATCTCATTCTGGTTTTCATCTTTCAGTCCATGAAGCTTTAAACCTCCCCCCAGCACTTATTAATGACTCAACATTCCTCTGTCTGCCCCCACACTTCAATCCTTACCTTCTTCCTCAGGTCGTCCACGATGACCTGGTACTTGCTGTAGTCTCTGAAGTCGGGTCCGCTCTTCTGCAGGGCTTCCTTGATCTTGACCTCCAGCTTCTGGTTGGCCTTCTCCAGGTTCCTCACCGTCTCCAGGTAGCTGGCCAGCCGGTCGTTCAGGTTCTGCATGGCGAACTTCTCGTTGCCCATGATGTCGGCGCTGTTTCCGCTCACCTGGACGCTGCTGGCGATGCCGCCCGCTCCCATCCCTGCTCCCAGGGAGGTTCGGACGGCGGAGGAGACGCTGACCCGGGAGCCCCCGGCCCCGCCGTGGATGGACTGGGCCTTGTAGATGGGGGCGGAGGTGCGGGTGATGGACACGCCAGGACCCCTGCTGCTGGAGGAGCGCACAGAGTACGTAGACTGCCTGGTGGTTTGCATGGCTGCTGTAGACTCAGTCAGACACCGGGAGGAAGAGAACGAGCTGGGCAGGCAGAAAGTAGAGCTCACAGAAACAATTCAGAAGGAGAGAGGAGGCTTTTTCACTATTTAAACCCTAGGTCCGCCCCTCAGACCACTCCACCCCCCATTCATCCTGTCACCTCCCTGTTTTCCACCACAGAGCTGCTCAGGACCTGCCTCTGTCCTCTCTCCCTCCTTCATGTCAAAGTTACCAGATTTTAAAGACGCTCAAAAAAACGGGTGATTCATGAGGGTTTGGTGAAAGAAATAAAACTTTATCATCAACTTCTTCAGCCCCAAGGGCTTTTCTTGATGTTTTTGCTCGAAATACCTCAACAAAATATAACTGAGTGTATCTCAGCATTTACAAACCGTACTTAAATAATCTTGGTATCAAAATAAAGCTAACACTTGGTAGATTATATTTGAAGTGTAAGTATTAAAACAGCTGTGGCATTTTTAGAAATATTGAGGGTGAAACTGAATTTAAAAAATTTCCCCTCCCACCTGAAGATTTTTTTTTTTGCATTAGACCCTATTTAAAACCATAATGAATCAGGCTAAAAACTCTTGGAAACCATAAATCCACTTGTGGACATTACCTGTGCAAAGATTCAAGCTGCTAAAATAAACTGGAGCAAAGTTA